CAGGTGAAAGGACAAGAGGGAAAGAAAAAAAAATCCTAGTGTTGATATGTTAGTTTTAAAAGTCTCCACGAAACCCCATAGATTCTGCTGGCATTTCTCTTGCTAGAGCAGTGTTTCCTGACCATCCTTGGGCACAGGGGAGAGAGGAAAAAGGCAAGATTTGCTAGACATTTTCTAGTTGGTGCACAGCTGGGGTTTATAGATCAGACACTCCCCATCTCAGGCCTCCAGAAGAGTCTGCTACAGTGTTCAATCTCTCAGGACAGGTCTGGTAGCCAGAAAGAAGTCCTCTGGAGGTGTCTTCAGTGACAGGTGCCATTCCCCACTTGCAGGAAGTGTAGACTGGGGGCGAGAGCACGTCTTCTTGCTGGCTCACTCTACGGGCCATTGAACTTTTAAATATCCTGTCTGGGCTACCCCCTGTCAGCCTCACAGCCAGGCCTTCTAGCATTTACAACAGAGAGAGCGTGTGTGTGTGTGTGTGGGGGGGGTATCATGAGCACGGTATGGTGGAAAGGACCTCTCTAGGCAGGTGGGGCTCTTGTCTAGATCTTTTCATGTCTGATGCACCTGCCCATGAAGGCACACGGCTGTGAGGACAGGTGCATGTCCTGTAGCAAGGACAGGTGCATACTTTAGCAGGATGACAGGAGCAGGTATTACCTTCAGTTCTGTATGCTAATGTAACCACACACCATTCAAGCCTCTGGGAAGAAGAACAGGGACCCAACTTGCTAGGTGGTCCCCAGGGAGTCAAAGGACACATTGCTTACTGGTTCCCTAAGTGTCTTCAAAATGGACCTTAAGAGACCAAGCTATGAACCTGAGCTGTCTAAATCCAAGATTAGTTCAAACGCTGTGCCACCATCCTAGTGGTGTGGCTTAGGCATGTGGCTTGTCCTCCCTCAACCTCGGTTTCCTCATCTGTGGAATATGATAGTTGTTAGGCAGTGGAGTTATATGGATTCCATTAGAACATGTGAAGATACTCCAGGCGGGGTGCAGCAGTCCTTCCCTCGACCTTTAAATGTCACCCTGGCCCTGAGAAAAAGAATTTGTAGGCTTCAGAGTGAGCGAGAGATGGGATCTGTCTCATGTCTTCCTGGCTTTATGGCCTCTGAGTTGGGTCTCTTGCTGTCTGCCTCTGACTTGCTGTAGCATTGAGTGTGAGGCTCTGGTGGGGAACAAGAAACAGGTTCCCCCAGCATCCCAGCAAGACCCCTGATGACTCCTTAGCCATTCCTGATGACTCTTAGCACAGGGAGTTGCCTGTTCTGATTGCACACAGTTCTGCTGTGCACAGGCAGGGTCCCTGTAGAACATGAAGACACACTAGGGTAGTATCTCTTTCTTAGGTGGAGCGGTGATCCCTTGGAGTTAAAACTATAATCTGTAAGACTTCTAAAGAGGTGAGCCAAATTCAGTTAGGCAGCTCCTCCCCAAAGTCTGTCTGAGTGGTGGTGGGTGCTGAGGGTGCCCTCTGCCTGCCTGTGTTCCCCTTCCTTTTTTCAGCACTGCTGATCAGGCTCCTGGGTTGGGGACATGTTCTCCCTTCTTAGAAGTGAGGCTCAGAAGGCTTATGGAGTGGGACAAAGATTTGAAGTGTAGTATCCACAGGGAAGCTGGCTTGGCCTATTTTTAGAAGGAGCCATGTGGGTCAGCCCCTAGACAATAAAGAATGTGTCCCCACAATGGACCATTGTTTCCATGGTGGCTTCAGGGCCAGCAGATGACCCATGTCCCACGGGGTTGGGTTGTTGCTCCTGTCCTATGGATTTTTCCAGTGCTTTCTCTGGGCAGGAAAGAAGTACTGAGCCTAAAGGAGAAGGGACAAGGGAGGCAGGGCTTCCTGTTCCAGGGGACTTATGTGGGGACAATATAGCATATGGCTCAGGAGACCCCTTTGCTGGGGGTTTAAGTAGCTAGGTGTCCCTGCCTGTGCTTGCCAGTGTCTACCTATGTCTGACTGTGTCTTCTGGTGTCTGCCTGTGCCTGCCTGAGCCTGTGCCAATGCCAGCCTGTGCTTGTATCATCACTCCCTCATGGACGCTGCCACAGGTTCAAATTCTTATTCCATAGAGTGAGGTGGGAAGAAGGCTCTGAGTTTGCTTGCTTCAGAAGTCTTCAGGGTTAGGATCCCCTGTATCTCATTGTCCTGGTGGGGACAGGGCCAGCTCTTGAGTTTATGGGCTTATGTGTGTTGGAGATAATATGTAGCCCAGACTGTCCTCAAACTCTCCATCCTCCTGCCTTATCCTCCTCAGTGCTGGGGTTGTAGATGTGCACGGCCTAAACCACGTAGGCTAATGTCTTGGTGAGATGCCACACTGGGGCCTGGGCATGTAGCTCAGTGGTGGAACACTTGCCTAGTAGGTACAAGGCTCTGGGTTCCCAGTATGTGCGGAGAGCAAAAAAGAAAGCATAGCACTCAGAGACCATACTTTAGAGGTGGGGCCCTGGAAGGAGGTTCTGTTTCATACTACTGAGTCTATATGTGTTTCTTTTCTAGTACACGTATGTACGATCCTGTTCACAGACATGTGTATGTTTACTAGGAAATTGATGTGTGCTGTTCTACTTAACACTAATTTTTACAGGTCCATGTGCAGTGTTGTAATTGTATATTTATGTGCATTGCTTTACAGTAAACTTATGAGCACTGTTATTCCAGTACATCTATGTGCGCCCTGTTAGTCATACAGCTGTGTTTACCGGTATACTCGTGCATCCATGTTCATTGCTGTGCTAGTTCCCACCTGCCGCTCTGCTACTACAAACATGTGTTATGCTGTTTGAGGACTAGTGTGCAAGTACACCCATATGCTCCGTTGCATGTATATGAATGTTTGTTCTGTAACAGTGCCCCTTTCGGGGAATCCCTGTCTCCATGGGCTTTGCAGCCTTGTTCTGGCCACCCCAAGTCTTGCAGGATGGAGGCTGCTCCTGTGACAGGTTAGGGTGACTTTTCCAGACCACAGTTCCTGAGTGCGCAGTCCTGCCTATCCCTTCTTCTCTCAAATGAGACTCTGTGTGTGCCACTCTTGTCTCTTCTCTGCCACCTCATGAGAATTATATGGGTCCTGGATTCTGGGAGGATGTTGGTGACACCTAGAATTTTCTGTGTCCTAGTTTAATATTACATCTGTTGCATGCTGATCCACAGTGGCCTTCTGAGGTGCAGGGAGGCTCTGCTATTTCCGACCTCTGTGAGTGTATGAAGTAAGAGATGCGGGAAGCACAGCTGGTGGGCTGGGGCGCTTGCCTCCCTGTCACCTGCCTGACTCTGACCACCAGTTATGGCTGGAGGTGTCACACAGCCCTTCAGGGCTTTTGCAAGAGTTGATGGATCTGGAGAGAAGATCTGGGCCATCTACAAGGAAGGCCCCAGTGTCCCCAACCAACCCAGGGAGGGCAGCCAAACACCAGAGGAGGAAGCTGTTGCTCTCAGATGAGAAAGCCACTCCTGTAATAGGTGTGTCTTGGCTCCTCAGTAGCCTAGACTGACAGCAAGGAGGAGAGACAGCATGGGCCAAAGGCAGGGACACAGGGGGTCACAACCATCTACAAGGGAGGTTCATATGATAATGGCAAGAAAAATCATCCTTCAGGGAGCTGAGGGCTTGGAACTGAGGTGGGGCCTGTCTTTTTGAGGGTAGAAAAAAGATGGATATGTTCTTCCTTCTCATGAGGATGCAGGAGGGGGACTGTGGATTACTAAGAACTTTACAGTGGAGCAGGAGAGAGAAGGAATTTAGGGGGACCCTTGCATGTTCTCTGGTCAATCCAGAATGGGAAGTTGTTGACCCATTACCCTGACAGTCCAAGGAGGTGGATGCGATGCTGAGACTTCTACATCCTGTCTGCTTTTATCATCCCTGGGATGATAGATTAGTTCAGGGAAACGAATACTTGCCTAATGATAATACAATGGCTGCTAGTTAGACTTTGCTAGGTCAAGCCCAGTCTACTTCTGCAGTGAGTGAGGTTAGCTTTGGTTGGTGTCACCTAATATTGCATGGCATTTGAGAGGTGCAATGTGGGAATTGACCTAAGTCTGTGAAACAGGGTGGGTAAGCATCAATAGATACTGGAGCCAAGGAACTGGTGTTTGTGTGTGTGTGTGTGTGTGTGTGTGTGTGTGTGTGTGTTTGTGTGTGTGTGTGTCTTGGCCGCTGTTTTGTTACTGTGAAGAGACACCACGACCAAGGCAACTTCTATAAAAAACAAAAACAAAAACAAAAACCAAAACATTAATTGGGGCTGGCTGACAGTTTCAGAGGCTTAGTCCATTATCATCATGGCAGCACACTTGTTGCTGGAGCAGGTGCTGAGAATTGTATCCTGATCCATAGCCTGAAGTGGGGGTTGGGGGAAGGAGAAAGAAGGAGAAAACCGGGCCAGGTGTGGGCTTTTGAAAATCTCAAAGCCTACTCTAGAGACACACTCTTCCAGCAAGGGCACACCTCCTAATTCTAATCCTATCAAAGAGTTCCCTTTCCTGCTGACTAAGAATTCAAACATGAACCTGGGGGGGCCATACTTACCAAGCCACCACATCATATGCTCCCACAGAAAACTGAGGTTGTACTTTCAAATGGGGAGTGACTTCTAGGAAGCCTCAAATAAGCAGATATTTATTACCCCTGGGATAGGTGAGCCACAGGAGCAAGAGATCAGGGAAGCTTATGCCAAATGCAGAAACAGAGTACTTTGCGGGGAGTTTGACGGGGGCCACCTCTCCCTGGAGTGTAGTGTATAACCTGCTAGCGTCCTGTCTGCTGCCTCCTGACTCAGCTTTGCTCCCCCTTCCCTCCCCCTTTCCTCCTCTTCCTTTTCTGGTCTCAGACACCTGCTGTTTCCAATGCAGAGCTCTGGGGTTCAAAGGAGGCATGTATCCTCAGAACACAGTTGGGAACATGACAGGTGTCCTTGGTCAGTGAATCAGCCACCTGCCGCTATGAATCCCATGTGATGGGCCTCTGTCTGTGGTCTTTCCTCAGGAGCAGGACATCGAGACCCTACATGGCTCCCTGCATGTCACACTATGCGGGACCCCCAAGGGCAATCGTCCCGTCATCCTCACATATCACGACATTGGCATGAACCGTGAGTTTGGATCGCTGGGTTACTCGGGGCAGGCTAGTGGAAGTCAGCAGCTCTCTCTGCTTTAGGGGCTTCTTGGAGCTCTTCCAGAAGGAACTCATGCCTTAGCCTGGAAAAGCCTGGAAACACACTGTGATATTAGCACTGGATGCTCTGGGGACAGGAAAAAGTGCCTCTGCTGCCCAACAACCTGCTACAGTGACTTAAAAATTAATATATGCAATGACCTTTGACTTTGATATTACCACAGAGATGTACAGGCAGCAGCACAAACAGTTTTAGGATACTGTAGTCACTCTTAAAAGAAGTCTTGTTCCCTTTCTCCATGGCCCTGCTCTCTCACACTCCCCAGCTTTGCTGAGGATACCTTGTCTCCTTCTATTTGTCACTAGAATCTGATACAAGCACATTTCTCTTGTGTGTGGTCCCTCATGATTGGCTCATGACTAGCTTTGTCCATGTTTTCAAGATTTATATGTGTTGCAACTTTTGTCAGTATTTCACTTTTTTTGTTGGTGAATAAGATCCTACTGAATGGAAACCACACTAGGCCTCCCATTATTTCTTCTCCAGAAGACAGCATGGTCAGACCTGTCACAGCAGTACCCCACTCCCAGTAGGAATTTCTGTCTTAGTCACTGTTCTATTGCTGTGAAGAGACAGCATGACCAGGCAACTTTTACAAAAGAAAGCATTTAGTTGAGGGTATGCTTAAAGTTTTGGAGCTTTAATCCATGGTCATGGCAGAGAGCATAGAAACAGGCAGGTGCTGGAGACAGTGACACAGTTCTTCTGACAAGGCCACACCTAATCCTTCTGATCTTTCAAACAGTATCATTCCCTGATGACTAAGTTTTCAAATATATGAGCCTATGGGTGCCATTCTTACTCAAGCCACCACACTGGAAGATGGATGTTTGGGTTCTTTGTATTTAACTGTGCAATTACCACACTTATACATAGCGATGTAGTGAATGTTTACACATTTGATGAGTAAGATGACAGGAAGTAAGCCAAGCTTGATGGCTTATGCTTGTCCTCCCAATACTTGGGAAGCCAAGGCCAGGGGAATCCCTGGGAGTTAGAGACCAATCTAGACTACATAGTAAGTTACATGTCATCCTGAGCTAGAGAAAACAAAACAAGCCAGCTGTGGTGGTAGCGGTGCACTCCTCTTTAATCCCAGCACTTGTGGGTAGAGTCAGGAAGATCAGGAGTTCAAGGACAGCCTTACCTACATAACTGGGCTGCCTTTGCCTCAGCCCCTTAACAAGTGGGAGACTCATCCATCCCAGGAGACACAAGTGAATGCTTTAACCAATGTGACTCTTGTTAGAAATTATGTGTGCCTTGAAAGGTGAACCAGATCCTACAGCCTGGGAGACCCAGAGAAGTTCATGAGTGGATACATATTATACTGTCCTCATGGCGACCTTGCCTGAGAGGAGTCACAGTCAGACTACAGTATCCTAAAGCTGTTTGTACTGCTGCCTGTACATCTCTGTGGTGATATCAAAGTCAAAGGTCATTGCATATATTAATTTTTAAGTCACTGTAGTAGGTTGTTGGGCAGCGGAGGCACTTTCTTCCTGTCCCTAGAGCATCCAGCATCCTCAATTCACACTGGTTGCGAATTGAGCACTCAAGGGGCTTAGAGACCAGTTCTGCACTGTACCAGACCTTAGCTCTATGACTTCTTCCTGCCTCTGTCACCAGAGGGAGGTCTGGGGGGAGGGTAGACTTGTATTATTTCTTTTTGAGATAGGGTCTCACTCAATATGTATATAACGGGTTTAGAACTCTGTGTGTAGATAAGGCTGGCCTCGAACTCAGAGATGCACACTGTCTCGGGAGTTCCTCTGCTGCTGCTAGATGAAGGAATAAATGAATGTACTTTGCTGCCAGCCCTCACCATTTTCTCTTCTAACTTCTTCTTATCTACCCCTTGGTGTGTCCGACAGACAAGACCTGCTACAACCCACTCTTCAACTCCGAGGACATGCAGGAGATCACACAACATTTTGCTGTGTGCCATGTGGATGCCCCTGGCCAACAGGATGGTGCCCCTTCCTTCCCAGTGGGGTAAGAGCAGGGTCCTTTACCCCAGTTGCAGGTGGGGTGCAGGTAGAGTGAAAAATGCCAATCTGGGTAAAAAACAAACAAACAAACAAAAAACTATCCTAGATTTGCTATTTCTAAGCTGGCCACAATGATTCATACATACCTGGAATCCCAGCACCTGGGAAGCTGAGGCAGGAAGATCACTAGTTGGAGGTCAACTTGGGTTCAAAGCAAAATGACCTCCAAAAAAAATTTTTTTTTTAAGAAAAGAGAGAAAACCTAAGACAATATATTTTGTCTCATATATATTTTTTTATGGCTACATGTATTTATAACAGCATTTACACTTTAACATGTTTCTTTTTCCATTTGTGTGTGTGCTCGTGCACTTACACATACATGAATGCATGCATTTATGTGTTTATACAAGTTTTAGGGATGTGGGTACATTGTACATTGTGCATAGAGAACTAAGGTTGATGTGGGGAATCAGCCTCATCACTCTTCTACTGTCTTCAGTGAAGCAGGGTGTCTCAATCAACCCCAGAGCTCACTGATATGAGCTCACTGGCTCTCTTTTCTTTAGGGAAACCCTGTCTCCACCTTGTATGGCTGGAATTACAGTCTACCACATAGCATTTACATCGGTTCTGAGAATGGACCTGGTGATCCTGATGTGTGTGTAGCAAGAGCTTTAACCACTGAGCCATCTCCCTAGCCCTATTTAACTATCTTTAGAAGTACATTGTAACATTGTTTGTGTGCCATCTTTCTGTAAGACCTTTTTCTCACTCAAGCTGATAGCTACTGTGTCTAGTAAATGCAAAGTCCACATCCCAGCTAGGCTACTTTGAGACAGCTGTGCCTTACCAGTGCAGGGCAAGGCTGGGAATATAGCCTTACCAAGACGAACTAGCCAGAAGAAGAAACCTAGAAAGTGAAAAAGAAAAAGGCAGGGAGGGAGAGACAAGACTGCCGTAGTGCTTCCTCAATAACAAATGTCATTTTCACTTACTCCTCACCAGCCAGGAGTCTGAGGCTGGGGTTATTGGCTTATTCTTGGTGAAGATGTCAGGTCATGGAGGGGCCTTTGGAGCTCATGAAAGACCACACAGTCAGGGTAGAAAGTTGAACTCCAACTCTGGTTTGCCTGCAGTAGGCCTCTGTCTCTGGGGAAGCACGGTTCCTTGACCAGGGTACTCACACTGCTGTGTGCCTCACATAGTCTTTTGGTTTCCCAAGTGAAGCTGTGAGGACTGGGACTTCTGACTCTTAAAACATCTCATGCAGGAGGCCCCCGTCAAGGGCTCCTCCAACACCTGATGCTGGATGGAACGTGCAGGAACAACTCTGAGTTTACAGGCTTCCCGTGATGTCCCTGTGAGCATTTACAGACAGATATGCTCTTTTATTACTGATCTCCATTCTTAATTATTAACTTTCGTCAGAGAGAAGGGAAGGATCACCTGGTCTCTCAGGGACAGGCCCAGTTATAAAGAGCTTGTTCAACAATGGAGAACAGTTAACTGTAAGCCAGCTGACAAAACCAGGGCTTTCTCCACTAAGGCAGCTTTGATAATTGAGAGTTGGGAGGAGGTCATGCAGAGGCTCTTACTGCCCAGGTGAAGTCTCACAATGTTCCTAGATCTGCCTCCCCCAGAGAAATACATGAACTGTATCTGTAGATTAAGATGTGGGGGTGTGTACCCCCAAGTTTACCAGGTAACTTCAGTGTGCCTAAGGTAGAAATGCTGTTGGAGCAGGATGTGGCTTCTTCCTCTGGAATCAGGACTATGTATTTTGGGGGCTATTAAAGGAGGATTGGGGATCAATGGCTGTTTCTTCTTTTGAGTCTGCTTCCTGCTTTGGAATCTGCCATTCTTTTCTTACATACCTAGCCCCAGGAAGCTGACAGGAAACAGAAGCTCTCATGGTTAGGTGGCCTTTCCATTATTGTACTGGTTCCAAGCTGAGGTGTGACCACTCCCAAAAAAGTCCCATGCCTTTGCCCCTTCTTTCTCCTAAAGCTGTCTCCAGTTAAGTAAAGCCACACCATTCAGGCTCCTTGTGGCTCTTTCAGGGTCCTCCACAACTGTTCTCTGTCTAGAATCCATTTTCCCACTGGGCCCTGGCACTGTCTCAGCATCACTTCCTCTAGGAAGCCCTATCTGGCCAATTGAGCAGAATGGATCCCCTTGTGTCTGTGTCCTCCCAGCCCACTGCTGTCCCGTCCCAGCTCATATCACCCATTCCACTCTTCTGTTGACTCACATGAATCTCTGTATTGCCTGTATCTGCTAGGCTTCCATGGGCTCACAGACAACCTGAACCATGTGCCCATCCGGAACTACTACAAGGGTTCAGGTCCTTCACACTTCCTGAGGCCACCGTTGTGAAATGCCATGTGATCTGTGTCATATCTGTTTCTGGTATCTTATCCCTAAAGCTCATTAGAGATAGGACGTATCTTCTGTCCAGCCATCTTCTGAGTCTAGATAGCCAAGTAGCTACTGAGTAGCTAATAAGACTCATGTAGGACCAGGGCAGAGGAATCTACAGGGTAAAGGTGGGGTGTGCCCACACAGTGAATGCTAAGGGCTGGGATGCATTGTGTGGCTGGGATGTGCTGTGTGTGGAAGGGCCAGCTGGTACCTGGGCTTTCAGAATATCCTTGTAGGGATTATTTATTTCTCCCAGGGTTTAAGTTCACAAGATCTCCTTCCACGTCTCCCACAGGTACATGTACCCCTCAATGGATCAGCTGGCTGAAATGCTTCCTGGAGTCCTTCATCAGTTTGGGTAAGAACAAGGGACCCTCTCTTCCAAGATTATCAAAGAGGGGCAGCTGCTGGCCCTTTTCTCTTCCTTGTCGTGACTACTAAAGTGCAGGTTGAAGTGCAGGTTGAAGAGTCAGAAAGGAGCTTGCTGCAACTTGTACCCACAGCTTGGCATCCCATTCTGTGTGCTGAGACTGTGGTCTTGCTTCTTGAGCAGCCCCAATGTCCACTCTTTTCTTGCCTCCTGGTTCCATGGAACATTATGAAATAGTGTTCCCTGGGAACTTGGCTTCTCTCTCCAGACTCTCATTCTGCCCTTGCAAGCTCCCTTTTCTCTCTCGCTGCAGCCTCTTCTGGGATAAACCCCATGGTTCTGGCCCAATTTGTTCTCATTCCAAGTTTCAGAATCCAGAATAAAGCTGGGGAGTCGGGTGAGGCAACTTCTTGAATGGGCTTTCCTGTAAATGTTAGGTATCTCAGGACCTTGGCTGGATGCAGCCAGAGGAAGCAAGAGGGATGAGGCTCCCAAGGTCACAGCTCTGGACGTGGAGGCAACCTCAGCGCAGCCTGACTCTCATGGCATGGGCAAGCTTGTCAGCATCCTCAGAAATGATGTCTAAAGGGTGTAGCTCTTAGGAGAAAGTGAGGGAAATTTATAGGAGTGGGTAGGTACTCCATCATACCTCCCTTTGGAGATCTGAATGCTCATTTGGTTTCCAGGCTCAAGAGTGTCATTGGCATGGGGACAGGAGCTGGTGCCTACATCCTGACCCGCTTCGCAGTAAGTTCCTTTGTGATTTGTAAAATAACTTAAAAAATCACTTAGGGGCTGGGTAGCTGAATGGGAAAGAGTGTTGCTTTGCAAGCATATAGAGGATCAGAGTTCAAATCCCCAGAACCTATGTGGAAAACAGACATGTTGCAGGTGCCTATAACCCATGATGGTGGGGTGGAAACAGGTACATCTGGAGAGGTGTCTGGGCAGCCAGCCTAGCCTAAAAGGTGAACCTCCTATTTGATGAGAGACCCAGTCTCAAGGGAGCACAGTGGAGAGCAACAGAGATGGATAGCATGCTTTGCCCTGACTTCTGCATTGATGTCCTGGGCATGTTTCTGTATACTCATGTATCTCTCCCTATCTCTCTATCACACATACATATTAAATAAACAAACAAAATTGAAAAGCACCAAAAAAAAACCCTAAAAAAAATGAGCTGTACTTCTCTTTCCCAAGTGAAAGCTGCTGTGCCCCATGGGTACCTGTACATGTACCTTGAGCATTCATATTAACAGCTTTGGTCTTATTGGTGCAGAAATGGCACACTATGTGGAGCTTTTAGTGCCTGGACTTGTTCTCTGAGCAGAAAATTCAAATGGCTTCTCACTCATAGGGTCCTCTGTTCCTGAACTGTTTTATCTCTGGGTTTTGTGACCCAGGTCCTTTGGGAACCCAATTGAGTCTAAATCAGAATCAGACTCATGCTAGTGTGGCAGTGCCCACTGCTAGCACTGTGGGCATCCTTCTTGTCTTTGCCAGTTACCGTAAAGTGGCTCATGTCCTTCAACCCAAGGCATTTGGATGCTCAGTAAGTGCAGCAGCTTGATGGTGCTTAGGCATGCCATCAAAATGCAGATCAGCTTGGGCATCAATTTCAGCTAGATGCTGGGATTGTCTTGGAGTCCTAAATACATAGGCATCCTAGGTCACAGAATCATCGGGGCATTTCTGGGCCCTTCTCACTTAAGTGTGGCTTGGATGCTGCTCACTGGGCATCCAGAGAAGCTGAGGCTCTATGAGGTGAGGGGACATGATGGGAAGGTTCTCAAAGTCCAAGTGCATTCTTTCTTTTTCTGTGGCTTTCCCTTGCTCCCTTGAGGACCTAATTGAGTTTTGAATGAGCAAGAACCTCAGTTCCGCATTGACTATGCAGAGAGCCCTTAAAGCTTCCTCCAAGGTCTGACTGTCATTGGCTTAAAGCCCTCAGTAGTTCTATCTCTTGACTATATCTCACATTATGTCCGTGATTACAGCTCAACAACCCTGAGATGGTGGAGGGCCTCGTGCTCATGAATGTGAACCCGTGTGCTGAAGGCTGGATGGACTGGGCTGCCTCCAAGGTAAGGCCGGGTAGGCCAGGCAGGTGGGGTCCCAGCCTCTATTCAGGGGAGCACCTTCTTGGCCCTACCCTTCTACTTTTCCTACTGTCCAAGAGAGCAACCTTCCTCGGCCCTATTTAAGCTAGCAGCCATTTGCTGCTCAAAAGGTCTCAGTGGCTCGGCCCTAACTGATGTCCCAAAAGACCCTGTTGATCCTGTTGATTTTTATTTTTAAGTGATGATTGCTTTTCTTTTCTTTTCTTTTCTTTTCTTTTCTTTTCTTTCCTTTTCTTTTCTTTTCTTTCCTTTTCTTGTCTTTCTTTCTCTTTCTTTCTTTCTTTCTTTCTTTCTTTCTTTCTTTCTTTCTTTCTTTCTTTCTTTCTTTCTTTCTTTCTTTCTTTCTTTCTTTCTTTCTTTTTCTGTAAAGTTCTCAGCATCCACCAAGAATAGGGAAAAACTGCCTATCAGGATGGGACAAAGCTAGGATGACTGGTCTCTCATTGGGATAGTGGTTTTGTTAGTTTGGGCAGCTGCTGGGGAAGAGGGCATGGGCCGCACCCACCACTTCCTGTCGGCTAGGTGCTGTGTTTCTTCCTGAAGCATTGATGGAGTTCAGGAGTCCCGTCCCTGCCTGTGGGGTAGCCGAGAGCAAAGGATCCTTCCTGGTTTTTATTTTATTTTCCAGCTGAGAAAGGGACATTCCACTGGGGCTCACTTGGCCGCTGGTCCACTGTTCTGAGCCAAACAAGGAGGGCTGGGGCGATGGCCTCCAGCTGAGATAGGCTGTGGTTTTAATGAATTCCCCATGTGCGGGCCCTCTGGCCTTGAAGGACAGTCTGCATATTTAGGGCCTTCGGTGCACCAGGCATGACTGTCAGAGCCTGTGATGCCTGGCTGAGTTACGGGATCCTTACTAGAAGCCTTATTATGATCTGACCCGGTTCTTAACACCTTCAGTTACAGACAAGAGAGCTGAGCTCAAGAGCCTTCAGCCAGCCCAGTGCCCCACAGCTGCAGGTGGCCATCAGGCCAGTCCAGACAGGACCCAAGGTCAAATGCTCTCCTCCCTTACTCAAACTGGGCTACCTGTGCTATCTGCCTGCATCTATAGTGTATCTATGGAACACCTACAGTATACATGTAGCATCTATACAGCTCCTGTTGTATACCTAGTGGCCTAGATTTTATGTCATGATCTGAACATTCATGGAGTACCAGCTGCATACTACTATGCTTTCTGATCATGCTGTATATAGTCTCTTTGGAGGTGGTGTGGGGAGTCATTAGTGAATTCAGACACTTCAAGGAATTCATAGACCAGAAACTAGCTAGAGGGGAGGAGATAGGGGGTTGGTGTAGGAGGAATAGGCAGGGCTGAGTAGCCCCAGAGCTGTTGATACGGAGATCACCATGTGTTGGGGTGATGGGGCCTTAGTACTGAGGATTTGGGGAGCCTTGGGAGCAAGGAAAGTTTGGCCTAGCTCGGTCATAATTCCACCTCACTTACTATATGTCTCCTTCACGTTGGCTCTGATAGTAAGGAACTGGATGGAAAGCCAGGCCTGGTCTGTCTGCTCTGGGCTGTAGGTCCAGGAGGGGACTGGAGACAGGAGCTGAACTACCACATGAACAGATCTGTGATGTTCAAGATGTCTAAGATAACCAACTTCTGCTGAGGAAAAGCTTATTCAGGCTCATCAGTTGGGAGGATTTGGTCATCCATGATCTTGGCCCTATGGCAAGACAATATATCATGGCAGTAGGCCAGCCACAGGTTGGGGGAAAAATAAAAGACACTACCCCAATGTCCTGAAGGCCTCCTGTGGGCCTCAACCTCTTAAAGATTCCCCGCTACCTCCCAGTAGTGCCAAGTTAGGCAGCAAGCCAGCGTGACACACCCCAGAGTCAAGCTCTAACTGTGTTGTCATGGAGACCTGGATAAGGCCTTGGAGCCAGGTGGTGTCACTCTGCCTCCAGGACCCTAGCCTGGCTGACTTTCTTCTTTCTCTGCTGCTGAGTCCTGGTTGCCAATTTTTCTTGGTTCACCCTCCACAGATCTCAGGATGGACCCAAGCTCTGCCAGACATGGTGGTGTCCCACCTCTTCGGCAAGGTGAGTGGTGTGGGGCTGTGTCCTGCTGTCCTCACTAAGCAGTCAACCATATGGTATTGAGCACGGGGCCACATGGGAGGGTGCTACAAACCAGATTCGATCAAGGAGTTATGGGGCTGAGGTCTGTGAATTATTGTGAAGTATTGACTCATGGCCAGCAAGCCGTTTGTACTGTTTTTCTAGCCCCACCCCTTCTTTGAGAATTTCATACATGCGTACAATCTCTTTTGATCAAATGTACCCCAAGTTCTTCTCCTTCAGCTCTCTCCACATCTCCCTCATGACTTCATGAGCATTTCTTTTTTAAATGGCTAAATCCTGCTGGTGCTGCTGGTATGAGCAAGGGTATAGACACGGAGCATGGACAACCTACCTGGAGCACTATCTTTGAAGAAAACTGATTCCTCTCCTTCCCTCCATCTCTCCATCATTAGCCAACAGCTGCTCACCAGAGGTGGGGCTATGTGATAAAATGGTTTTGTTACAGCACCATGTGCTGCCTATTTGAACAAACCCATCAGCCACCAGAGCAGCTAAGATAATGGAAATGTCCTTCACCCCTCTCCTCCATTTTCTTGTACTGTTAGCCATCCTCTTCTCACTCCTCCCAGGCACCCCCTGCTCTGCAATGTGTCACTCTAGATTTGTCCGTGAATCCCACACTCCTCTCTTTGCTGTGGCTTTCTCTCCCTTAGCGTAGTTATTTTAGGATCTACTCACGTTTTTTGGACACCATCATTCATTTGGTACTGTGTAGCATTCCACAGAATGGACATACCACAGGTTTCCTGGTGACCTGTGTTGGCCTTTCATTTGTAACAGTTTGGGGTTCTTATGAGTGAAGTCTTCAGTACCTATGTCTATGGGATCAGCTCCATATCTGTGTGAGGCTCCATCCCCAGCACTTTCCAAGGATTATCTCATGGAGTCTGTTCAGGAACTCTGTGATCCTGGGAGAAACATGCCATTCATACCAGTCTGAGCTGAAGAAATTCAGGCCAGAGGGTGAAGGTCTCCAGGAGACCAGGAGAAATGTGACTGGGGTTTGACTACATATAACACACAGTCTCCTAAGCCTCTGCCCTTGCCTGGTTCTTACGTGAGCTGAAGGCACAGCAGGCATTCATGCAATATACTGGTGGCAGGCCTGGCTTCTGCTTCTGTCTGGTGTCACATCTCTAGCTTCATCCAAGGCTGACTGCCATGAGGGAGGATGTCCTTTTGGCTCACATCCAAGTTCAATGTCTGGAACCCACCCTGCTTGCCCAGACTCAGTGATGCGCTGCTGACTGGATGTAGCATTCTCTGCTGCTGAGCTAATGTATGTGACAATACTTCGATGCCCTCATGAGTCTCAGAGCAGCAGAAGACTTTGGTGTCACCCCTTGGCTAGTACCTGAAATGGTTTAGACCACCTAAGGTTGTCACCACACAGTTCAGACTGTCCCCAAGTCCTTTGAGGCTCACTGATGCCCCTGAGTTACTGCTGTTATTTTGATCAGATTCCTCAGACCACCTTCCCCCAGGATGTCTTTGTCATGACTAAGCCTTCTTGCTGACCACAGGTCTTTCCGATGCCCTAAGTGGCAGGGGCAGGTTGCTCTGAGGTCTACTGTGAAGCAGGCGTCTTACGTTTAGCTGAGGCTCCTGAGCGAAAGCTGGGCCGCCCTGGTGGGCTCCTTCTGGCTGCTAGTAGCTGTCACACAGCAGTCTGCACTGGATACCACAGACACACAAGCCTCCAGCTCACAGCTGCCTCTGTCTCACCCACACTGTCCCTCTCCATCCTTGCGGCGGGAGAGGTGACAAGCCCTAGCCGTTCTTCCCTCTGTCACCACAGGAGGAGATCCACAACAACGTGGAGGTGGTGCACACCTACCGCCAGCACATCCTCAACGACATGAACCCCAGCAACCTACACCTATTCATCAGCGCCTACAACAGGTAAGAGCCCTGTGCAAGGCCAGGCTCCTCCAGGTCATGCTAGGGTCCTCATCGACCTCCTGGAGTGGAAGCAAAGGGCGGGACCTTGCTGCTGTAGGTTAATAGAGTGGGGACCGGGAAGGACAATGGCTGTGTAGGAGCGAGCGGCCTGGCCTTTGGCACTGTGTGAGCTCTGCTGGGATCTGAGCTCCTACCCAGACTGTGGGGCCAGATGAGTGGGATGCAGCTGAGCAGTCAGAGTGGAGAGTTGAGGCGTGTGCCTAAGGCTGACTCAGAATAAAAGCTGCTGTGGGTAGAGCTGGGCAACAGAGCGGAACACCGTGGGCACGAAGAACCCTGGAGGCTACTGGGAGGAGAGTCTGTCCAGTGGATAAAGCATGCGGGGCTTGTTTGGAGTTTTTCTGGGGAGGGGACGACATAGGGTCATCAGTCAAAGGTTCTGGAACCTTCTAGTACACTCCATCAGCCTGCAGAAGCACCTCTGCCATATTCCCAACACAGGGTCCAGCAGTGAGTGTTGCACACATCTGACCTAGGGCGGTACCCAGGACTTAAATGTCCTGGTGATCAGTTTGTATTTGCAATGAGCTTAGCATCTTTGGTGGACTCTGGTGCCCTTTCCACAATCCTTTCAGTATCTCAGTGTAGGGGTCCTTGGCATTCTTCCTGCTGTCTGAAGCTACAAATGGGTACCAGGAAGAGGGAGAGGGGTTCCCGGTTGGACAGTGGGAAATTACAGGAGTGAGCTGGTCTCTGCATAGCAGCCTATGGAAAGGGCCTTACCGAGGCCATTTCCCACTGAGGAAGCAAAAGCACAGAAAAGGTTAGTCTTTTTCCCAAGGTCATACTAGGAAGTGGCGCAGCGTGATTTAAATTCTGCCATGTTAGCTTCAGTCTCAGAGCCTCAGAGGCCAGAGAGGCCAGGTGTTCACATGCAGGGACCAGGTCCACCCTGGACCTCTGCTAGCTGAGTGGGACACCAGTGCTGGCTTTGGCACGTGTAGAAGAGAAGGTCTGAGTTTTAGAGATGGCTTCTTGTGTGGAGGTGTCAGAACTGCTGAGGGCAGGCATCAGTTAATAGTGGAAAGGTGCCAGGAGGACGTTCCAGAGCTTTTGCAGTGGTAGGTGGGGCTCTAGCTAGGAGGACAGGGACAGAGGGACCTCTAGTGAGGAGCTGATTTGTTTTCTTGTAGAAATAATATTAATACTGATAAGAAATTTTGGGCAAAATGAAGGAGTGTTTCATTAGAAAGAGATGGAACCCACTGGATCTTAACTGCTTCTATGGCCACCAAGTGGCCATGGGGTCTTGAGAGCTATGTGATCTCATGAAGATGACCACTGACTGGTCATCTAGGACTGTTTATGGTGGGACCTCCAGGGATGTCATAGTGGTAATGGCTTTTGGGTCAGGTCTGCCAGTGCTGACCATGTTCTTTTTGCCTGCAGCCGGAGGGACCTGGAGATTGAGCGGCCAGTGCCTGGAACCCACACCGTCACCCTGCAGTGAGTGGCTTTCTTCTCCTATGTTGCTAAGCTGCCATGCTTCACTCGGGGCTGCTGGTGGGGCCTTTTGCTGAATGTGAGAATGCTACCTTAGGGTGGAACGCTATGGTACAGATAGATATCTACATTTTACCTAAGGGATCTGTGTTGAACTTTTTTCTTTTTGTGTAGCTTGAGTCAGCATCAGGTCAGGGAGTGCGTGATCATAACTAGAGCCCTTGAATCAGGAGGCTGACTGCCTTTGCTAAACACATTCATTCAACACCAATGGTCGAGTTAGGCTGTATCTCCCAAAGTCTCGAGATGAAAGATGTAGGACCTGCCATGAGAGAGTCTTACATATCTAGTAGGAAATGTTGCGGCTAACACATTTCACTGGCAATGATGCTGTCTTTCTATGGCCCCCCATGTGTGCCACAGTGAGATACTTGTGAATATGACATGTGTCATTTTCTTTGTCATTTATGCTAAATATATATATAGTCCATCTTAATATATATATATTGTCCATCTTAATTCCTGGAAAATTCTTGTTTCTCCTTTCTCAGACAGACGGTACTTCGGAATGAAAGCATTAAGACCCTAAATTGTTAGGCCAAAACCTTATACTAAGGTATAAGTAACTGCTAGCCCATTTTATTCAACGTTCAAAGCAGAGGATGGCAGTGTAGAGGCACAGAGGTGCAAAGGTTGCTAGGAAAGCTAAACAGATGTTAGAATCCTGCTATAGCCCCAAGGGTGGAGTATAAGAACCTTGCGATGGATCCTGGACTGACTCTTTTTTTTACCTCTCTTCTGTGCAGGTGCCCTGCTCTGCTAGTGGTTGGGGACAACTCTCCTGCCGTGGATGCTGTGGTACGTATTAGTTCAGCAGGCCACATGTGCTCGCTTGTAGGAGCTGCTCACCCTCTGTCACTTGTATCACCCTGCTTTCCCCTCCCAAATCCAAGGACATTGTTTAAATGTCACATCAGCTTTGGGGCAGAGCTTAGACCAGCTTCTCTCTGTGGCCACCAGTTCTGGCTGCCTGGCTGTGTCCCTCCCCTGCCCTCCTGCTTTCCAGAGCATCTCATCTACATGGTGAAATCAATGCTAGGCTTCGTGGCTAGGGATTCTCTCCCAGTCTCAGCAGCAGGTGGGCCTTTCCCCTTAGCAGAAGAGCAAGGCACCCCGGCATCTGGGTCAGGCAGAACTTTCTGCCTCAGTTTACCTTCCTTCTAATTTGCACCTGCAATGCTAGAGAGACACAGAGGGTGACTGTTTTCTGACATTCCCACAACTGGGGAGACGTGTGACAGGAGGCTGTGACTCACAGTCCAGACTGTCTTGTTCTGCCTCTGCAGTGCACCATAGAGCTGATGTGCCCTGACTTGTCTCCTTGTCACAGAGCTAGTCAGGGCAGGGCCTGGCTCACCCAAAGTCCACTTTTTATATGGCTGAAGGAACACTGGTGTTTCAGATGGTGGGTCAAGGTGCAGGGGAGAATGGGGCATTCTTGACTTTGGCTGTCAGTCAAATACTTACCTAGTCTTTCCCTTTGTTCAGGTGGAATGCAACTCCAAATTGGACCCAACGAAGACCACCCTGCTCAAGGTATGAGCAACAGTGAGGCTGCAGCTGTCATGGTTTAGAGGCCCCACGTGGTTTTGGAACTGTGGATATGCTGAGGCATACAAACAAGAATTTGGAGTTGGATGTAGTGCATATCCCTGTCATACTAGCACTGAGGCAGAGGCAGGAGGATGTCGAATTTGAGGCCCTCCTCAGCTACGTACCATGTTCTCAGCTAGGCCAGACCATATAGTGAGACCCTGTCTCTGAAAGGGAAGAAGGGGGGGGGGGGGAAACTCAGAGAGGGGGAGTCAGATAAGAAAGCAAGCAAGCTTGGAGCTGATCCAACGCTGCTAAATGGTCTGTCCCAGGGACCAGACTGCAGGGGTCTACACACTTTTGTCCATGCAGCTAGGAGAAGAGAGACGGGAAGCACAGGACAGGAGTCTCCTTTTCTTAGGGTGGGGCAAGGAGATCCCTGCACCAGATCCCCCTGTGCAGTGTGACACTGTCAGATCAGGCAAGCTTCCTCCAGGAAAGTCTCCTGGGTTCAGTGTGATTGTTGCTATGTGCAAACAGAGCTGCAGAAACCCCATGTAGTCAGGCTGCTTGCACACCCAAAGCCACCTGCGGTGTGGCAGCTGTTTCTGAAATGTGGCACAGGCTCCTTCCTGAGAATCTCTCCACTGGGTATACTCTGGAGGCTGGGATCTTGAAAGTTTCTTGAGCCGCTCTAGCTTCCAAAATGGCGCAGTTGAGCCCTGTATGCTCTTAGGAGTAAATATGGAGTGGTCTGTGGGGCCTGATGCAGTGTGGAAGCTTTGAGGGGGTTACAGTCAACAGCCAGCACCCACCCTGAGCAGTGTTGATGGTGATCCTGGGGCCAGTCTCACGGAGCACAGATTGCCACAGTGTGACCCAGCTGTTAGGTGCTAACCAGCCTCTCTCCCTCCTAGATGGCAGACTGTGGTGGTCTCCCTCAGATTTCTCAGGTGAGTAAAATTATGGCTTTCTCACTCAATACCTGTCACCGCCACTGGTGCGGTGCATGTGCCCCTGTGGCCCATGAGCCCCCCTTGCCTCACTGTCTCTGTGTGACAGCCAATGGTGGTGTATTCATACGTCTCCACTTCAGTTGAATGAGTCATGCAGAGGAAACAGTGACTCTGAAGGTGTTCTTGGCACTGCCTGATCACTTATCCAAAGATACCTTGTCAACCCAGCTAGTGATAATAGCCACCCACACATAGCCATCAATTCCATTTATCTTCTATCCTTTCTTCCTTCCATTTCTTCTCCCACCCATCTTTCTCCTCTTTCTTTCTCTACCCATCAATCCTGTTATTATCCACTTGACAATGTACAATCTGACATTTTATACTTCTTCCTTCTTTTTCCCGTCTTCCAGTACTTTCTTTGCTTCTTTCTTCTCCACTTCCCTCCCTCTGTCTTTCTCTCCACCTCTACATCCTTCCTTCCTTCCCATCTTTTTTCCCCTCCTTCCTTCCTGCCATCTCCCCATCTCTCCTTTCCTCCATCTGTCCAGTCCTCCATCTATTCCTTCTTTATTTCATAGTCCTTCCCTTCCTTCCTCCCTTCATCTCTCTATCCCTCTGTCCTTCCCTCCATTTCTCCATCCCCCATCCTTTCTTTCTGCCATTTCTTCTTCTACTAATATTTTCCCATCACCATCCTTCCTTCTACTTACTCAGCCATCTTACTGTCAACCTGATATGAACCACCTCAAGCACAGGGTTCCTGGCATGGAGGTGTCTGGTTCATTCATGCAACCCTCATTTCCTAGTTCTGGTCCTTGGGTCAGCAGTTGCTACCCCATTTGCTATGTCATATGCACTGGTCCTGTAAGGCTGATGTCAGGTTTCCTGAGGATGGCTGTGCATGTGCAGAGTCCCTGGCAGACTCAGTGTCTCATGACACTTATCTGTGAGCACCGTGTGTGGCATGTCCCTATCTGCAGTTGTGAACATTAACTCAGAAAGTCCTGTAACGTATCCATGCTCTTTCAGCCACGAGGCAGACTTAAGCTGCTTATTTCTGGCCAAAGCTGATTCTGGTTCCCACAACGATCCTTGGTTTTTCTTTGGCTTCTGTGCTTTTTCTGTTCACATGTGGCGGCTCTATCTTGGGCCAAAGCTCTGTTTCCCAGGTACTGGTGGCCCATGGTGAACTGTACCTCCAGCCAGTGACCTCACACTCACTCTCTCTTACAGCCCGCCAAGCTTGCTGAGGCCTTCAAGTACTTTGTGCAGGGCATGGGATACAGTGAGTATGATACTTTGGGCACCAGGCTGGTGTGGGGGTGGTAATGTCATAGCCACTGGGGCTTGGAGAGGGCGCTGTCAGCTTGTCTGACTTCAGCTCTTAAGCATTGGGCATGTCTGAGAAAGGAGTAGACAGACACAGTAGCTGAATGAGGAATGTGGATCAGTAATCCATTTGGTTTTTTTATGCTGCACACTGCCATCACACAGCTGAGATGGTGATGGCCTCTCTGTGCAGCGTGGTCTCAGAAGACCTCATCATAGTTCAGTCTGTTAAATGAAATATTATTATATATTCAAGACCAGAAGTTGCTTAACATCTGATATTTATTTAGCTTTACATGCAAACCATTTAAAAACTATTTGGGGCAAGAATGAGACAGAATATCCTTATTGGCAAGGCTGGTCTTGAGCTCATAATAATCTTCCTGCCTCAGTCTCCCAACCACTAGGATTTCAGGCAGGAACTACTACACTAGGCTATGACTATCCCTTTAAACACCACCACCGCCAACAACAAACCAAAAGACAAACAACAGCTAAAAAGCAATGACTAACAGTTTAACAAGGAATGTTCCTAATTTTGATTATGTTCTTGCTCAAGAGACCAGCAGTTGTAGCAATGGTGGGGATGATGATGGTGAGAAAAGATTAGTACTTTTTTTTCTCCTTTAATCATCACAATAATCCTACAAGGGAGCGGCTGAGGAGGCCACAGAGGGGTGATATGTGGAAGGTTGATGAAGCCAGAGACCTATGTAAGAGGGAGACCAGAGGTAGAAGATAGGGTGCCTCCTTGCTAGATCATTGAATCAGGGAACTGAAGGACAGAGCAACCTGCTTCTGGGACTTGTTGCGTCCTGCTTCAAGCTTAGAGTGTGTTTGTCACTCATGTAGCCTCTTTTTTTTTTTTTTTTTTTTTTTTTTTTCATAAATGCCAAGCTTTGATCAGGGTTCATAGGCTCTGCTAGGCAGCAGCTTTGGCTGACACTAGCTGACATGTTAGTTGCAGCTCTGGCTCCAAACAATCCACTCAGTTCTTTTTGCCTACTGCTTGGAGTTAGCAGTCTGTGCATCTTTCTTAGCGGGGCATGGCTAACCTTGTGTTTCTTCCCATTTAAAAATGGATGGGCCTATTTGGTGAAGCTACAGTCTTCCCATGAGCCTTCACCACACTTACATCCCAGCAGGAGGCAGCCTGATATTAGTGCCTCATACAAGGCTCTTGTCGCTCACTGGCCCTCACCAACAGAACACATTTGCCTGTGGGCCTTCCTCCATCTAACCTGCTTTTCCTGGTGGAAATGGGAGAGAACTGCTGAGCGGTTGGTTTTCCCTTGCTGGGTATGGGTCATAGCTCGTTGGCTGTGTATTCTGGGAGGAAAGGAAGCAAAAAGCCCAAGCTGTTCACAAAATTTGTCTTCTGTCTGTCCCCCCAGTTCAGTCTGACAATGCTTCCTATAGATCTCAGAGAAGATAGTAGGGAGAGACACAGACCCGAAGATAATAGGGAGAGACACAGACCCAAAGGCATTGCCAAAAGAGAAGGTTCTCGCTCCCAGAGCGCCCACTCATGATGCTGGGCTCATGAAACTAGTCTATTGTGTGTCTGGTGTCATGGGAAGTTGCCATTTCCTGGTGAGATCATCAGGACTCACAGATTTGGGTGGAGAAGTAGAGACTCGGGAACAAACACATGAGCCATGAATGTACATTGGCCTCGATTCTTTCTGAATTAAAAATAGGGTGCTAGTTCTGCGGCAGCACGGCCCTGTAATCTCAGCATTTGGGATGTAGAAGGATTGTGAGTTCAAGCTCTTCTCAGCTACATGGAGAGTTTGAGGCCAGTCTGGGCACAAAGAAAGAGAGAGATGGGTGAGAGAGAAAGAGAAAAAAAGAAAGAAAAACAAACCAGCAACAACAGCACTGATTCTTTAAGGAGGGAATTCCATTGAGCAAGGATTAATCCAACTTTGAGTGTCTGCTTAAGGGCACTGCTTCATTGGGGTGCGGCACCAGTCACCCCATTGAGTAACCTAAGAGATTTCTACAGATAGGGCTCTTAAACATCAAGAATGCATTTCCCCACAGAGGCTGCGTATCTGAGATCAAGGTGCGGGTAGGGCTGGGTTCACTTTGCAAGATCCTTTCCTGCTGGATTTCTGCTGGCTACATCAATCAGAGGCCTTCTGTGGTTTATGGCTGCATTATACCAGTCTCTCCATACATACAGGCATGGCCCTCTCTTGTTTTCTCATGAAGGACACTGGCCTTTGAGTTATGAATCACCCTAATCCAGAGAGACCTCATCTTAACTAAATATCTCTAAACTAAATATTCCAAACCAGATCATATTATGAGGATTCAGGTGGGCATGCATCTGGGGGAAGCACTGAAACTCCGGACATGGGGAAGACTGTTTTGTTGTGTACCATTCTGTCAGTGGCATGGCAGTATTGGTCTTGCTAGGGTTTGAGAGCTAGCAGGCTTTTGCAAGGCAGACAGACTGCTAACATTTCTTCGGGGATCATGTGGTGAGACTTTGGGGGCCTCCTTGGAATGTGCAGGGACCAGCCTTGCTGGCTTCTACATTCTGCTGCCTACTGACAGCATATTGCTTAGAAGGGTACATAATCATAGGAAGGTCTTCAAGAATGACGCTCCAGTGGTCACCCTGCTAATCAGGACATAATAAACTGGGGTCCAGATCCAGGTCGTGGCTCAGATCTCTTGCTATGTGATCATTATATGCCTTTCCAACATCTGGGTCTTACTGTCCCCTTTGTGAGTGGCATAGAAAGTGAGCTGGACTCTCAGGACAGTATCATGACTGGCAGACAGGGGTACAGTTCCACCCCTGCCCATATCCTAACTATATCGTCTTCTGTGTTCCAGTGCCTTCTGCCAGCATGACTCGCCTGATGCGGTCCCGCACAGCCTCTGGCTCCAGCGTCACGTCCCTAGAGGGTCCCCGCAGCCGCTCACACACCAGCGAGGGCCCCCGCAGCCGCTCGCACACCAGCGAGGGGTCCCGTAGCCGTTCCCATACCAGTGAGGATGCCCGTCTCAACATCACCCCCAATTCGGGTGCCACTGGGAACAATGCCGGGCCCAAGTCTATGGAGGTGTCCTGCTAGGCAGTCTGTGCATCAGTCATCCTGGACTGGTGGTCTCTCCCTTAGCCCCCAACCCCTGCCTGCCACCCTACGCTAATGCGGTATTAATCTAAAGCTGCTTTTGTAAGAATGAACTCTGGTGGCGGCAGATCCAGGCTGTTTGGGTTGCCTCCTGGGACCAGGGTGGGTGGTGGTGGACCAAAGGCAAGAAACATTGTTCAGTGCCCTGCTCTGCTAACAAGTGGCCTGGTGGCTCCTCTCTCTATCCTCAGACACCCAACTGCCAAAACCAAGAAATACATAGCAGTAACACTGCCTGGCTCCATGCCCAGGCTGAGCAAGCCTCCTGGCTCACAGGCGTTTTGCCAGACCTCCTACTTCCTGTTTCCTCTCCACTAAACCCATTCCTGGAAGCAAACTTATTTCTGATTTGAAAGGGGAGAGAAGCAGGGAAGTTGGGCATCCTATTTTAAGTAGGAAAAACAAGAAGAGGAGAAAATAAGGCGGGATCTAGGGCAGGTAGGGGAAAAACAAGTCTACACAGCTCACTTGAAGGAAATGATTTTAAAGTTCTGGATGTGGAAACCCACAACCTTTTTTTTTTTTTTGTTCTGACAACCTTTTAACACGCAAGGGAAACTGGTAACAAACTCCTGGCTTTGAACAGAAAGTGATTCAGGAAATACTGGGTGGCAGCCACAGTGGTTAAGTGCTCTGCCTTCTCTCTGCCCCATTGGCCCTGGCTCCTATCCCCCAGCATGAATGGGTGATACCTTTGTCCCCGGGGAAGATGGTTTTGATTCATAGTTGCATTCTTTGAGACTGAGGGAGACTCGACGGGTGACAACAATTCTTGTCTGAGATGAGTCTCTAGGCATGGGAAGGGTGGGGATGCAGTAGCATGGGATTTGGTGATGAATATGAAGGCCAGGTGCTAGAATCTGGTGGGTGTGATTTCAGTGACCACAAGCCTGTGCCCTGGAATCTTGTGTGATTGAATCAAACCTTGTCTACCATTATTGATATCTGGCATTAGCTCTAAACTTGATAGATAAATGTCGCTCAACTGGCGCATTACTAGTTCTTCAGAGAGAACGATGTGTTCTGGTGGGGGAAGGGTTGATGAGATGGTTTTGGCTTGTGTACATTCCATGGGAAGTTGCTTCCCTTTCCTGCTGCCCCCTCTCCCTGACCCCCTTGCTGACTGGGTTTGTAGCACTGGCCTTTCTAAGCAATGCCAGCCTAATGCCCATGCCATGTACTACTGCCTTTTGGTTTTTACTGTGGCTAACCTTGGACTTTTCCTGTAGGAAATATGATCAGATCAGAGACGCTTGACCACTGGGAGTCAGCCACCAAGGCCTGGCGAATTCCAGGACCTTGGAGTTGCTAGAAAGTAGTCACACATGTAGTTGGTGTGAGAGGCAAGGAATCAGTTTACCTGTCGACTTTTACCATAGGGGTTTCCTCTGACCTTGTGTAGAAAGATTGGGGATCCAGGCCAGGGTGGCTGACAAGGAACCATTGTACATGTCTTTCCAGGGCAGTTTCTTAATGAGATGTTTGTATTTATTTCCAGACCAATAAATTTGTAACTTTGCAGTGGCTTGTGTCTTTTCCTTCCCCTATGAGGGTGTATGTGACATTGTGGAACAGGAAGGGGTGGAGCTTTATCCTTGCCATCCAGAGCCCCTTGTTGTTGGAGTTCTTTACTGCAAATTGGTACTGACCCGTAGAAATGTCACCAGCTGTCACATAGGTTTCTAAACTTCCTGGTAGTGATGCTGAAGAAAGAGCAAAAAGGCGAAGGTAATTTAAATATTGCATCTAAACTATCACCATTTTTATGCAAACAGCAAGGCACATCTTTTTCTGTACTAAGGAATCCAGTGTGCAGTCAGGCTCACCATACACCAGGCACCTAGTAGCAGGTCACTATAGTGACGAGAGGAGAACACTTTCCAAGGTAGAAAAGGGAAGCAGCTCATGGGCGGTGTCTGCTTTGTATGTATGTGTTGTGTGCATATTGCATTTGTGTGTCCATGTGGTGGCCAGAGGTTGACATTGAGTGTCTTTCTGTACTGCCCTCCATCTTACTGTTTTTGAGGCAGGGTCTCTCACAGAACCTGGAGCTCACAATTCAGCTGAATTGGCCACAGAAGCCCCAGGCACATGTCTTTCCTCCCCATCACATATCAGCATCAGGCTGGGGAGATAGCTTGGTGGATAAAGCACTTGCTGGGTAAGAATGGAGACCTGATGCTTGCTTTTTAAAAGAGAACGTTCTTAATAAGTTTTAAAACGTAACTCTTCATTTTACTAAGCATTTTGTAATTCTCTTAAAATCTATAGAACACTTGTAGTTGGTATCAATTTTCTGTGGCTGTGACAGAATTCCTTACATAAACATATGGAGGGTTTATTTGGCTCACAGTTTCACAGAGTTCAGTTTGGTTGACTAGTTCTATTGTAATAGCGTGATGGTTCAGAAATCATGGTGGCAGGAGTGTGGGAGAAGAAGCTGTCACATAATGATAGCCAATCAGGGCCCATTTTCTTTAGCCAACCACTTCTACAGTGCAGTTTTTAATGGATTATACCCATTCATGACCAGTGCCCTCATAATGCAGCTGTGTTTCTGATTATTGCATTGAGGACTGAGTCTCCAGCAGATGAGTTTGGGTGTTGGGGTTTATTTCTATCCAAATCTTTGCATAATCAGAGACTCCTCATCACAGGCCCTTGGGGCCCTTGTCACTAAAAGGCAAACATCAGTGCTTCACAGTTCTAACATTAGCAGGATGCCCCGAATGGCCCCTCTGTATCCCAGAATGCTTTGATAGCTCTTTAAGAGTCTTAGCTCATTATTGTCTGTGACCATTTTGCAAGTCTTTCGTATTTAATTAAGCATTAAGTATTTGCATGAAGGTCATTCACTTGAGATCGGTATAGAGTTTTCCTCAGCTGGAGGATGGCCACAGAAGTCAAGTGACTGTTGTTGTACAGGGGCATGTATGTCTGTGCTTTTGGGGGCTAGAAGATACTCTTTGTGCTGTTCTGTTTTGTTTATTTTTGAGTCATGGTGTCTCTCTGGCCTGGAACTCATCAGGTAGACTCGGCTAACTGGCTGGGGTACACCAATGCTCTTCCTATCTCTGCCTTTGCAGCACTGGAATTACCAGCATGCACCATCATGCCTGGCTTTCTAATTATGTGTGTAGGTGTTTTGCTTGCATATAAGTCTGCACCACATGTGTGTTCTGTACCTGTGAAGAGAGGGTGTCAGATGCCAGGAACTGGAGTTACAGACACTTGTGAGCTACCAAGTGAATGCTTCAATTTGAACTAGGCTCTCTGGTAGAACAGCCAGTAGTATTCTTGATCACTGAGCTATCCCACAGCTATTAGTACCTGGCCCCTTTCTTTCTTTTTTTAAATGTGAGTTCTGGAGGATTAAATTCAGGTCCTCGTGCTTACAGGGCAATATTTTACCAACTGAGCCTTCCAAGTACCTTTGTCACATCATGTCAAGGCCCATGTTACAGCATGGTTCCTCTGAAGTGAGATATACCTTGGTCCCCAGCCAGGGATATATATGCTGGGGTTCTCCACTACCAAGGAGCTCTTCTGCTTTTCCTTCTCACTTTCTTGAAAGCAAGTCACTAAGGACTCAACACTTGCCCCAAACAGACTTTCTATTGTTACTTATATCAGAACATCTTCACTTTCCTTTAACTTCTTTTTCATGTGCTATAAACACACAAGATTCGCAGCATGGTGGAGCCATAGTTCAGGACACTTTGTCTATGACATAAATATACTTCCAGTAATAGGTGGGTGACAGTCCCACAGAAGGGAAAGGAGACATCACCTACACATTGTCTAGCCTGAGTACCAGCACAGGATGTATGAGGAACCTGAGGTGGGGACATGGGCAGGTAGCTTAGTGTCCTGTGTAGCAGAAAGCCAGGCTGGAAAGGTGGAGAAAGGGCCAGCTCCTATGCAGCTCTGCCTGTCCCAGAAGGCCAGGGGGAAGACATCCTCCATGGAGCTGGCGTACCACTCATGGGTTAGAGAAGTCTTCAGACCCCACTCAAAAGTTTTAAATGCACAGAGTAAAAATTTTAACATTACAAAAGGAGCCAGTTATACTGAAGTAAGATCATGTAACAATTATAGCACAAGCTTTCTTGTGCTTACTTATAGAATTGAAGGGGAGGTCAAGGCAGGTCTCAGTATCCGTGCAATTTCAAAATGATGGCTAGCATGCTTTGACTGCCCCAGCTCTAACGAGGTAACAGCCTGTAATCATAACTGGTGAGATTTGGGGGATTTTCTCCCCACATTTAAGGAAGAGCAAGTGCTAAATTACAACTTGAGGCTAGCCGACACAAAGTCTAATTTTTCTTCATTCAAGACCACTATGGAGACTCTTCCATGGTGGCCATTGTAGAATCCCAGGGTGGCAAAGATGTTGAAGGAGTACACTTAAATCAGTCTCCTACTAGGATTAGATTCTTCTGAAAATCTAAAACATGAATGCAGCCTTAATCCCAAGATTGCCCAATTATTATGTTTTTTAGCCCAGGACCCCTTCCCCCATCTCATGTATACCCATGTATCTGCTCTTTTATAATTCTAAAGTCAATATCAGGTGTCTTCCTTCTTCTCTCTTCACCTTGTATTTTGAGACAATGTCTCTCATTAAACCTGGGACTCATTTCAGCTGTATAGGCTAGCCAATTAGAGAAAGGGAACCTGCCTTTTTCCATTCTCTCAGCCCAGAGATTATAGGCATTTATTTTCTTGACCAGTTTTTGTTTGCTTGTTTGTTTATTTGTTTGTTTTTAATTATTAATTCCTGCTCTGGGACCTTGAATTCAAATCCTCACACTTCTGTGGAAAGCACTCTACTGACTGAGCCATCTCTCAGCCCCTCTTTAATAAGAAGGATCAAATTGGTTCAGCTTGCCCCAGGGGCCCAGTCAAACCTGACCGGGCTCACATTAGTTTTTGCACACCGCAGTGATGCAAAGGCTCTGTGGTGGTTTGAATGAGAATTGTCCTTATAGGCTCATATGCTTGAATACTTGGCCTCCGGTTGGTAGAGCAGTCTGGTAAGGATTTCAAGGTGTGGCCTACTGAATGAGCTATGTTATTGGGCATGGGCTTTGAGGTTTGGATATCCCATCCATTCCCATTTGTGCCCCCACGCCTACCCTATCACATGCTTGTGGATCAATTTGTGAGCTCTCAGCTACTGCTCCATCACCATGCCTGCTTGCCTGCTGTCATGCTCACACTGTCCTGGTCATCGATTCTAACCCTCTAAAACTGGAGGCCTCAAGCTACTCAGACTAACTGTTTTCTTTTGTAAGTTGCCTTGGTCATGGTGTTTTATCACAGCAATAGAAATGTAACTAAGACAGGCTCCACGGAACCAGTGCAACTGAGTTGATGAATTAACAAATCATCGACTGACAGCGAAATACCTGAGTACAGCATGCATTGTCATTCACTCCTGCTCTGAGAAGTGATTCCTTCATACCCAGCATTCTTAGGATGGAAGGAGACTTGCACATATGAAGTGTGTAGTGGCATACTGTATATTGCCTTGTTTTTCCCACTCACAAACTACTGATTTTTTAAAAATATCAAATTTATTGAGTATATATTTGTGTGTGTTCAGGTGTGCATGCATGGGCTTGGCTGCCTGAGGTCAACATCAGACATCTCCCTCCATTGCTTCCCAAGTATTCTTTGAGGCAGAATCCTTCACTGAGCTTGGTACTCATCAGTTTGGCTAGACTGGCTGGCCAGTGAGCTCTAGGAAATCTCCACTCCCCAGAATGAGTAGTTTTCAAAACTCAGAGAAACTGAATGGTTTGACTAGCCGTTTCCAGTGGGTTGTCATCTCCCTGTCTGTAAATCCAGAGCACCAAACTGGCTCACACCTTTACCTATCTATGTCTTGGGATGGTGGAACATCAGTGAGCTCCAGGGATCAGCACTCCAGGCCTAAGTGGTTTTCACGGCCCCAGGTGACCCTGTTCTTCTTTCGAATGATCCTGGTCAGATTTACAAGACACAATAGCTTTGATGTGGTTTTGAGTTTCTCTCTCTCTCTTTTTTTTTTCTGTTGGCATTTGTTTTGATTTTGTTTTTTGAGATAAGGTTTCTCTGTGTAGCCTTGGTTGCCCTGAACTTGCTTTGTAGACCATCAGGCTGACCTCAAACTCACAGAGATCTGTCTGCCTTTGCCTCCCTGAGTGCTGGGATCATAGTCTTGCTGGCATTTTTTAGTTTTATCAGTGAGATAAGATTAAGTGAGATGAGATAAGCTTGCATCTAGCAGTGCTCGCTTTTACTGAAATAGATGAAATCTACATTTTCTTATAGTATATAAAAGCCAGAATAATGAATAAGGCTTAGAGTGGAGAGCCTGAGGTATTCTATGTAGGGTGTACCAAATTGTGAGAACACTATGCCAGTATCTCCTTAGAATCCATGTGTGATAGGAAGGACCCAGATTCAAGCAGGATGTGGATTTCTAAATGCAGTGTGACTAAGGTGTGGATAGGTAGGTGGATGATGATGGTAAAGAT